GCTAAGATGGATCCTTTCTAGAGAAGAAGTTTCTCTCGAAAGAAGTGAGTGGGAGGAAAGTAGAGCTTAATAAGGTAATTTGTACCTTCTCCCGAATTGGAAACTAGTTCATCACTGAAATCAGTTCCAGTGATACCTACACCAATTAGTGAGGAAGCTAATGATGATGATCATGAAACTTCAAGATCAAGTTACTACCAAAACCTCGTAGGTCAACCAGAGTAAGATCCGCACCAGAGTGGTATGGTAATCCTATTCTGGAAGTCATGTTACTAGACCATGATAAACCTACAAACTATGAGGAAGCGATGATGAGCCCAGATTCCGCGAAATGGCTTGAGGCCATAAAATCTGAGATATGATCCATGTATGAGAACAAAGTATGGACTTTGATTGACTTGCTCGATGATCAGCAAGCCATGTTAAATAAATGGATCTTCAAGAGGAAGACAGATGCTGATAGTAGTGTTACTATCTACAAAGCTAGACTTGTCGGAAAAGGTTTTTGACAAAGTTCAAGATGTTGAATATAATGAGATTTTCTCACTCGTATCGATGCTTAAAAGTCTGTCCGAATCATGTTAGCAATTGCCACATTTTATGAAATCTGGCAAATGGATGTCAAAATTGCATTCCTTAATGGTTTTTCTTAAAGAAGAGTTGTATATGATGCAACCAGAAGGTTTTGTCAATCCTGAAGGTGCTAACAAAATGTGCAAACTCCAGCGATCCATCAATGGACTGGTGCAAGCATCTCGGAGTTGGAATATACGCTTTGATGAGTTGATCAAAGCATATGGTTTTATACAGACTTTTGGAAAGGCATGTATTTACAAGAAAGTGAGTGGGAGCACTACAGCCTTTCTGATAAGTATATGTGAATGACATATTGTTGATCGGAAATAATGTAGAATTATTCTGCAAAGCATAAAGGAGTGTTTGAAAGGAGTTTTTCAAAGAAAGACCTCGGTGAAGCTGCATACATATTGAGCATCAAGATCTATAGAGATAGATCAAGACGCTTGATAAGTTTTTCAATGAATACATACCTTGACAAGATTTTGAAGTAGTTCAAAATGGAACAATCAAAGAAGGAGTTCTTGCCTGTGTTGCAAGGTATGAAGTTGAGTAAGACTCAAGACCCGACCATGGCAGGAAATAGAAAGAGAATGAAAAGTCATTCCCTATGCCTCAGTCATAGGTTCTATAAAGTATGCTATACTGTGAACCAGACCTATTGTATACCTTGCTCTGAGTTTAACAAAGGAATACAATTTTGATCTAATAGTAGATCACTGGATAGCGGTCAAGAATATCCTTAGTGAGGACTAAGGAGATATTTCTCGATTATGGAGGTGATAAAAGAGTTCGTTGTAAAAGTTACATCGGTGCAAACTTTTACACTGATCTAGATGACTCTAAGTCTCAATCTGGATACATATTAAAAGTGGGAGCAATTAGCTAGAGCAGCTCCGTGCAGAGCATTGTAGACATAGAAATTTGCAAAATGCTTACGGATCTGAATGTGACAGACCCATTGACTAAAATTATCTCACAAGCAAAACATGATCACACCTTAGTACTCTTTGGGTGTTAATCACATAGCGATGTGAACTAGATTACTGACTCTAGTAAACCCTTTGGGTGTTGGTCACATGTCGATGTGAACTATGGGTGTTAACCACATAAAGATGTGAACTATTGATGTTAAATCACATGGCGATGTGAACTAGATTATTGACTCTAGTGCAAGTGGAAGACTGAAGGAAATATGCCCTAGAGGCAATAATAAAGTTATTATTTATTTCCTTATATCATGATAAATGTTTATTATTCATGCTAGAATTGTATTAACCGGAAACATAATACATGTGTGAATACATAGACAAACAGAGTGTCACTAGTATGCCTCTACTTGACTAGCTCGTTAATCGAAGATGGTTATGTTTCCTAACCATAGACATGAGTTGTCATTTGATTAACGGGATCACATCATTAGGAGAATGATGTGATTGACATGACCCATTCCGTTAGCTTAGCACACGATCGTTTAGTATTCTGCTATTGCTTTCTTCATGACTTATACATGTTCCTGTAACTATGAGATTATGCAACTCCCGTTTACCGGAGGAACACTTTGGGTGCTACCAAACGTCACAACATAACTGGGTGATTATAAAGGAGTACTACAGGTGTCTCCAAAGGTACATGTTGGGTTGGCGTATTTCGAGATTAGGTTTTGTCACTCCGATTGTCGGAGAGGTATCTCTGGGCCCTCTCGGTAATGCACATCACTATAAGCCTTGCAAGCAATGTAGCTAATGAGTTAGTTATGGAATGATACATTACATAATGAGTAAAGAGACTTGCCAGTAACGAGATTGAACTAGGTATTGGATACCGACGATCGAATCTCGGGCAAGTAACATACCGATGACAAAGGGAACAATGTATGTTGTTATGCGGTTTGACCGATAAAGATCTTCGTAGAATATGTAGGAGCCAATATGAGCATCCAGGTTCCGCTATTGGTTATTGACCGAGAATAGTTCTAGGCCATGTCTACATTGTTCTCGAACCCGTAGGGTCCGCACGCTTAAGGTTTCGATGACAGTTATATTATGAGTTTACATGTTTTGATGTACCGAAGGAGTTCGGAGTCCCGGATGAGATCGGGGACATGACAAGGAGTCTCAAAATGGTCGAGACGTAAAGATTCATATATTGGATGATATGGTTAGGCCAAGGGGTCAAGCCCATGAGGCTTTAGGTCGGTGCAAAAGGAGTTTTGCGGAGGCCAGGGGGCCAAACGCCGGAGACCCTGGCATCTGGCCCTGGGCCGGACGCCGAGGCCCATGACGTCTGGGCCAGACGCCGAGGCCCATGGCGTCTGATTGTGGCGTTTGGTCCTGGAGTCCGAGTGGGACTCTTGCCTTTCGGGCAAAACCGACTTTGAGGAGGCTTTTGCTCCAAGTTTCGACCCCGGGGCTCAACATATAAATAGAGGGGCAGGGCTAGCACCAAAGGAACACCAATTGATCCCTTGGATCTCTTAGCCGTGTGCGGTGCCCCCCTCCACCATAGTCCACCTCGATAATATCGTAGCGGTGCTTAGGCGAAGCCCTGCGACGGTAGAACATCAAGATCGTCACCACGCCGTCATGCTGACGGAACTCTCCCTCGACACTCGGCTGGATCGGAGTTCGAGGGACGTCATTGAGCTGAACGTGTGCTAGAGCTCGGAGGTGCCGTAGTTTCGGTGCTTGATCGGTCGGGCCGTGAAGACGTATGACTACATCAACCGCGTTGTGCTAACGCTTCCGCTTACGGTCTACAAGGGTATGTAGACAACACTCTCCCCTCTCGTTGCTATACGTCACCATGATCTTGCGTGTGCGTAGGAATTTTTTTGAAATTACTAGGTTACCCAACAGGCACCACCATCAAAGCCCGAAGGATATCAAAGCCAGGCTGCCAGAAAATGGACCGCACTTATCTCTGATGAAAGGATCATGCCTGTATTTTGCTCTCAAGGGCAGAGGCCCCCAAAACTCCACACAAGCTCGGGGGCTACTAGTGGTATAATATACCAGGGGTGGCCCATGGACCAGGAAGCCTGATATTGTGTCGACATCAAGGCGCAGGGGCTCGGTGGCTGTCTTCTCTAAGCATATGTAGTCCAGGGGCCCCGCTCGAAGGTGCAACGTCATTTTGGCGTGCAAGCCAATATGCCATGTCTGTAAGTCGACTAGGATCCGAGTAGCCCGGCCCCGTCCCCTTTATAAGGTGACGACAAGGTGTAGTTGGAGGCATCTGTTCAATCATACACAGACATCGTTAGTCATCGTCAATATCCACTTGTAACCCGCTCGCACGAGGTGCTCCCACATCAATCCAAAACAAAGTAGGACGTAGGGTACCATCTCAGCCATGACACATGAGGGTCCGAACCTAAGTAAATCCCCCGTACGGACTCCCATCTGATACTTCCGGCTACGCTTGTCATAGTACCGATGGCACCTACGGTTTTCTGCACCGTCAGTTTGCATGAACTAGGGAGCATAGATGGACTAAACGGATGATAGGAGACTGGAGTCAATCAGCAACGCAACTGAAGTTCATATTGTCTCAGACGCACCCCTTGTGCGCCACTCCTCGGCCGCCCGCGTGATGTGTCTCTATGGAGGCCAAGATCACACAAATGTCTTCCTCCTCCTCCTCCTCCTAGTGGTCGAGTTGTTGGAGGTAGGAGAGATGGGGCTGCTCGACGGACTCGAGGTAGGGGGGGACTCGGAAAAAAAGGGAAATATTGTCTTCAGCATCCAACACATTTGTTTTTGACAACAAAGGGAAAGACGACGAAAAGAAGTGGGTTTGGTTTACCAAAAGCAGATCGAGGGGCTCAAGAAAGTCGGCTCCAACGTCCTCTCCTACGTAGTAGTACGTGCAGAGGAAGCAACTGACTTGCGGGCCCCACACGCTTCTCCTTCATCCGTCTTCTTCCTCCTCGTGACAATCCAAGACCGTTTGGGTTTCTTGTTCCCGTGGGATGCTTTGCTCTTGCCGCCCGCCTCCGCCTCTCTCCATCCATCCTTGTACAGCAGCACAGCACAAGACCGACAAGGAGACCAGCACGCGCACTACTTGCGGGGATACTACACACACAACGTATAAAGATTTGATTTGGTATATATTGATTTCAAAGCCCATTCAATCCTGTTTCGTCGTTCGTCGCGAGCAGGGCCTAATCTAAATCGCCGAATTGCTTCGTCGCCAATCAACCGATCAATCAATCAAGAGTAAGAGCAATCCAATCCCCCCGGTCCTTCTTGATCCGCTCGCCTCCTCTAATCTCCGCCCAAATCACACGAATTTTCTCCATGATTCTCGTTCTTGTTCTTGGGGAGGGATAACTAACCGCAGGTTGATTTTTTTTTCCTTTGTTCCGCTGGCGCAGGCTCGCCACTCGTCGACGGACACCGACCAAGCCCCGGCCGGCCATGGTGGTGCGGGGCCAGCAAGATCTGGACATCAACATCGTCCGCTGGGGGCTCCACCACCTCCTCGACGGCGGCGCCTCTCCCGGCGGCGGCGGCTGCGTGCACCGCCCTCAATCCCCCACCACCGACTACGCCCCGCCGCCGCCGCAGCCCCACCGCGCCCGCGCCCTTCTCGACGGCTACGACATGGCCCCCGCACCCGCCCCCGAGGTCAGGGTCGACGCGGTCGAGAACGACGAGGTCATCGCGCACGCGCTGCAGGAGGAGCTCGCGCAGGTCGCCATGGCCGAGGCGTCCGGGGCCGTCGGCGGCAGCGAGCCCGAGCGCCGCGCCACCGTCCTCGCGCAGCAGTGGTTCCGCCCCGAGGTCGTCAGCCATCTGCCCTCAGGTACTACTAATCTTCAGTTACCAACATACACGCAACACACAGTAAATTCAGACATGTCATCCCCTCCTGACTCGTTCCCCTTTCCTGAACAAACGCCGGTGCAGCACCGCCGTATGTAGAAGAAGCAGAGGGCTCAAGTCCACGTTCGAGCCCCGAAGAAGATCGCAATGCGCGCGACGGCCACGGGTGCTCGATAGAGCTCGTGGACGATTTCTCTGCTCTCGACGGCGAAGTCGGCAAAAGACTGAATGACATGGTCCCTGTCCCTGTAAGTAGCACCGCTCTCTTCCTACTGATCCCAGATTATATATCATCCATTATGACAGAACAATTGCTAGAATGGTTGGGACATATGCTAGAATTTATTCACTGCATAATGGGGTTAAGTACAATAGTTTTGGGTTTCTACAGTTTCAAGGGGATTCAAAGTTCCACCTCTGATAGATATCTTATCAAACCATGCTCTGAAATTTAGATGGGTTTGGGGATTGCTAGTTCCTGCTAGGTCATCAGAATAGTGCTTCGGCCATTGACTTGAGGATGCCAGACACTATTTACGGTAGAGATCATATGTTAAATGCAGACAATGCTTTTGATTTATGTGAATTATCAATCAACCTAGTAGATCCCCGATCATATATCTGTTCCTATCAATGCCAATGCTGAGCCCTGTTCCACTTTCACTGCCCTACATTATAGTTTCACAGCCTGAAGGGGTTAAGTACAGCAGTTTTGGGCTTCTACAGTTTCAAGGGGTTCAGAGTTCCAGCTTTGGTGTATTATCTAAATTGTCAAATAACCATGCTCTGAAGTTTAGGGGAGTTGGTATTGCTAGTTCCTGCTAAGTAATCATAAGAATGCATGGGTTATTGCTGAAGGATGCCGGACACTATTTGCGGTTCAGATAATATGTTAAATGCAGAATTATCGTTCTACCTAGTAGATGCCCATGGTCCGATCTTATGTTTGTTCCTATCAATACAAATGCTGAGCTATGTTCCATTTTTACTGTTCTGTGTGATGATTTTTGCAACTTTACTTCCCATCTTAAGGCAAGCCCCATTTTAACATTTAATAATCAGTTTGTGACTCATCAAACTAGAAAATAAAAGTTCAGAACCTGCATCTCTAACTCTCCGTCGATTATTAAGAAGCTCATTCTTTGACGAATTTTCATTAACTTGCATGTGTTCCCTTGAAGATCAGTGTTATGTCTTACAATTTTGTTACCTGCTCACTGTGCTACTGCAGCATGTCCCTAAAACAAACGGAGACATTCCTTCTTTTGATGAAGCCTTTTCAGATCACCGAAGACTTCTTGACAGGTAAATACCCCTGCAGTATACTTGTCATCCCATAAATCTCTACATGAAGACATGTTCTGTATACTCTCTGTGCTCTGTGGTAGGTCTTTTCAGATTGTCTGTCATTTGATCCCAATATGATTTCTTATTTAGGTTGGTGCTGTATGGTCTGGTTGAGCTCAAGGTTAACGGAGATGGCAATTGTCAGGTATATTTACAGGATTCAGTTCTCTGTTTACTTTTCGAGAATAGCATATTTGGTGTCATCAGTACAGACCTGCTCTACAAGTAATTATCTTTTTCTGAACCTTCCTTTTTAAACAGTTTCGGGCATTGTCTGATCAATTCTACCGAACTCCTGAACACCATAGATTTGTACGGCAACAAGTGGTCAATCAGGTTAGTATATTCAAAATGACTGCTTATATCAGTCTCCTTCTTACAGTAATGTGATACACTATTAGAATCATTTTGTCAGTCGATATACAGAACTACGAGAACTGGTTGTGTCTCACTGTACTATTAAGAAGATGAAATTTTGTTACTTGTCAGATTCTCTTGTTCTGACAGTAATATGTTTCCATTCGCAGCTTCAGTCTCATCCTGAGATATATGCTGGATATGTCCCTATGGATTACAGAGAATATCTTAAGAAGATGCCAAAGTCCGTGCCCGCTCTTTCTCTACTAGTTACTAGTATTTATTTATCTCAGTAAATGTTAATTGATTAGAGTGTGAATATGCACATTCTTACTATTTTATGCTTACCAGGAATGGAGAGTGGGGTGACCATGTTACACTGCAGGCTGCTGCAGACTTGGTAAGCATGATTCCTCCTTCCTCACCATTTTTACTAGTAGTTGATCTGTCGTACCTGTACATACATTCTCATGGTATCTATGCAGCGTATATAGTACATCATTGACTAATAATTTACTCCCTCCATTCCATAATAATACAAGATGTTATTACTAGCAATATACTCACATATTGGTAGTAATAGCCTATTATATTATAGGATGGAGAGAGTACCTTTCACTGCCATCATATATATATTAGAAGAGCTACATTGCAATTTCACCACATGATTTTACAATGTGATTGAACTATCTCAATATGAGGTCATGGGTTCGAGTCCCGGAAATAACCTCTCGCAGAAATGTAGGGACAGATTGCGTACAAAAGACCCAAAGTGGTCGAACCCTTCCCCAGACCTTGCGCAAGCGGGAGTTACGTGCATTGAGCTGTCCTTAATTGCTGTTGTCAAAGACCTTCGATTTTATACCGTGTTGATCTTTCTGTCGGACTTTCTGACCCTCCTAGGCGCACCCTGGGGAAGTCTGTTTTAAACCTTGAATTTGTATGGGTGGTCGAAATCAAACCCCAACCTCTCAATCCTTGAGATCCCCATCTGCCACGCCTATATTGCGTGGCACATGACCTTATCGCTTGCCTCTTCATAAAGGATCTTTGCCGCCCACCTTAGGGTCACATCACAGCGCCACCACCGACGTGAAAGGCGTGCCCCTTCTTCATGAGTCTCAAATGCGCGCCTCTCCGACTGTCGCGGTCGCCCAGCACGTTGCTCTGGCCTTTTTCGAGTTTCGCATATGTTGTCGCCTCCCTGAGCCAACGCTGGTGACCGGAGACAAACCCTCGGAATCATCGTCAGACCACATCCAATGGCATGCCTGAATTAGTGACCAATGGCCTCCCCGGTGCCACGTGTGCAATCCCTGTTTGGAAACTGACGTAAACCCTAGTCTCCCCGGTGCCACGTGTGCAATCCCTGTTTGGAAACTGACGTAAACCCTAGTCTCCCCGGTGCCACATATGCAATCCTTGTTTGGAAACTGACGTAAACCCTAGTCTCCCCGGTGCCACATATGCAATCCTTGTTTGGAAACTGACGTAAGCCCGGACTCCCCGGTACCACGTATGCAATCCTTGTTTGGAAACTGACGTAAGCCATGGACTCCCCGGTGCCACATATGCAATCCTTGTTTGAAAACAGACTTAGCCGTGCTACTGACCGGGATTGTCGATTTCCGGGATTGAGAGGTTAGGGTTTGATTCCAACAAGGCGTAAAAGTTCGAGGTTTATTTCATACTAGCCAAACCGGCTGGGCCCACAGGTCAGTGTGGCCAAACCGGGTGGCCCCACCGGTCAGCGAGCGGCGCACGGGGCCCACCATCCATCCACGTGAACCGCACCAGCCACCCAGAAAAAACCGAACCCACCACCGCCCCTGGCGGCCTCGCTCGCCCTTATCCCCCCGCCCGCCTCCACACCCGCCGCCGCCGCCATTTACTCCACCACCACTCCCTCCCTCCCTCTTTCCCCCAGATCCAGATCTGAACCGCCGCCCGCCGCCGAGGGGCCATCCGATGGAGGCGAGGAAGAGCGCGCCGGGGCAGCCCTGGTCGGACGGCGAGACCATGCACCTCATCGACGTCTACGAGGACCGCTGGACCAGGCTGCGCCGGGGCCAGCTCAAGGCGCACCAGTGGGAGGACGTGGCCGCCGACGTCACCCGCCGCTGCGGCGGCCAGCGCAAGACCGGCACCCAGTGCCGCCACAAGCTCGAGAAGCTCCGCAAGCGCTACCGCACCGAGGCCGCCCGCCCCGTCACCTCCCTCTGGCCCTTCTTCCGCCGCATGGAGCGCCTCGAGCGCGGCCCCGTCCCCGTCTCCACCAACTCCTTCCCCGCCTCCCCGCCCGCCTCCGACGACGACCAAGACCAAGACCAGGACCACGACCTGGACCTGGACCTGGACCAGGAGGAGGAAGAAGAAGATGAAGAAGAGGAAGAGGATGGCGAGGAGGACCAAGAAGAGGAGGAGGAGGAGCAATTGCTCGTCGCCAGAAACAGGAGCATCAACGGCCTCGTGCGCGACGCCGGCGGGTTCAGGGGCCATCAGCAGCAGCAGCAGCGGCGGCGCCCGTCGCCGCCTGCTGTCACGCTGTCCACCGCGCCTCCACGCAAGAGGGTCTCCTATGAGGCCGCCATGTTCCAGTCCAAGGCCGCCGCTGCAGACAGGGTCAAGGCTGAGGAGGCTCCCGCCGTGGACCACCACTCCGTCGCAGGCGTGTTGAGGGACATCGGCGAGGGAATCAAGCGGCTGGAGAGGCGGAGAATGGAGGTGCAGTGGGAGATTGAGCGGGGGTGGAAGGAGACGGAGGCCCGCAGTAATCAGATGCTCCAGGACGCCCAGCGGCAGTTACAGGACACTCTCGCCACACTGCCGCCGACGGGGAAGAAGGCCAGGAGGGACCATGGCAGCAGTGCAGACGGCTTGCAGGAGGCTAGCTAGCGATTGCTCGATCTCGATTGGGGGATAGGCAGGTTGAAAGCTGTTTATTTTCTTATCTGGTGGTAGTGAAGGGAGGCAAATAGATTGTTCCTAGTCTTCATCCTCTGCTCGGGATGTATGTATTTAGTTCTCGTCGTGAACGATTCTGACCATTGTTGCTTACTTCGGTACGCATGGCAAACCATGCTTCTTACCAGACCAGTTGCATTCTGTCTCTACTTTGGTTGGTCTTTGCAGTGATTGATGTCTTGGACAATTGCCATAACTTAATTGTATGCCCGTCACCTGATATGAGTGAAAAAATGTGACTTTTTGGGCAGCATCTCTTAAGAACCTCTTCTTGATGATGTGTAGTTTCTTGGCATTATTACCAGTGAGCTGCTCATGTCATATGACTGCTCTGCTATTTGTATATGCATTGATTTTTTTTTCAGTATGGTGTGAAGATTTTCATCCTAACATCATTCAGAGATACATGCTACATTGAAATTCTCCCAGTCGTTCAAAAATCAAATAGAGGTAATGTGTGTTTGTCATTGCTATGTTATTATTGATGAATTGATTTCTAAGTTTCACCAGATATTTCAGTCCATTTGTATCTAATAAGATTTTTTCTTTCTTTCTTTCTGGACTCCAGTTATATGTTTGAGTTTTTGGGCCGAGGTGCACTACAACTCGATATATCCGGAAGGAGGTATATACAATCTATTGTATCATCGTTTGGATATCATTTTACCTTTTTATTCCCTTAGCTCTTGTATCTCACCATGCCGATCATGATCTGCTGCCTCCAGAGTTGCCCATCGTGGAGAACAGAAAGAAGAGGTGGTGGCACTTGGAGTTCTAGACTTGTAGTGCTAAAACCAAAAGGGGAATAGAAGATTTGATTTGTTCTTTTGATCTCATGGCAGCTTGTCGGATCGACGGTCGTTTTGTTCGACCATGTGATTACGAGGGATCTGAGGAGCTGCGATGCCGTAGGACTGATGAAGAGATTGACTGACAGTTCGTTTGTACATATATAGCAGTATCTGCACTGTTGACTGGGTCTGTGATATGTGATGTGAACATTTGTTGTAGTACTTATAATATATCTATATACATCACTTATTTTTCTAGGAGAGGTTATGTCAATATTAGCAGAAAGCGTTGACAAAATGATACTCCCTCCATCCGAAAATGTAAGATCATTTTTGACACTATGGGACGGAGGGAGTATATTTCTTTGCACTTTGACACAAATGACACACACCTTGTGGCACTGACAAGTGGCTTCAGGTCCCACATGTCAGTGATACAGGACGTCTCATTTGGGATGTCTGTGGTGCAAGGCACGCCAGTTTGTCAAAGCAAAACAAAAGTGGCGTAGATCATTTTGTCAAATTCCCTGTAAATTGATCCATCTTCTTCGGCGTGGTGTGTGGTGCTCATGTTTTGCAATTAATTTAGTTAAATGTATTTTTAGTTTGAACTTTGATCCTGCTAAAGCCAGTTAATCTAGAGCAGAGCAGTGCTATCCTATACCTATAGTTGCCAGATATTTCAGTTGTGTGTTTTAGTTGTACTTGATCATATACTTTATAGTCTATCTATGTACTCACCTATGTACACTAATGTAAGACGTTTTAGAGACTTGACAATGTGTTAAGCTGGTGTTAACTTTTCTCCGAGCTCCGGTTAAATGTTCGAGTATTTGGGTCAAAGTGCATGGGGTGGGCAAAAGGCTTGAAGCTTGGTAAGTTTTGTCGGCTCATTTCAACCCGTGCTTGTTTTGCTAATGAGCCGAGCCAATCATTGTTTTTATGTAGTTTACTTGATCCGGACAAAGGAGTTTCACAAGCTGCCCGTCAAGCCTGTAACAATTCGTGTTAGATTAGCTTTAGTCCATCCAGTCACAGTTAGTCAAGCCATCTCACAAACCTCAGCGCGCAAGTCTCCTATTATTTGACCCTTTTTTTTTGCGAGAATCCTATTATTTGACTTATTATACCTGCTTGCTATGCTATGTTGATTTGTTGGTAGTTGCTAAAATATTAATGCATTTGTGATGCAGTCGTTTAAATTATCGTAAACTGTCGTTGAAGTGATGTGCTACTTGTACTTTTAAATGAGCTGTAATGAAAACGAGTTTTTTAGATTGTTAATGAAAACGAGCCTACCTATCCAATCCTTAACGAGCCAATCTTCTTACTAATTCATCCCTAAGATCCTCTCTATCCATTCTCTTATAAGTTATATTTGAGGAGAAAAAAAACTCCCCCGGGCAAGTGTTCTTAGGACAAGTCGCGCTGCCTCCCGCTCGCCTACAACTTCCTTGCCTAGTCCTGATGTTGCCATTGCTCGGCCGTCATCGATCATCCCCCTTCCCGATGATCGACGGAATGGAAAGCCCCTCCCACACTGCACACCCCTTGGCACCCATGTCGGCGCAAGAGACCCACCACCGGCCACGAATTTGCGCCGCTAGTGTCAGTGCTAAAACCCGCAGATCTCGGGTAGGGGGTCTCGAGCTAGTGATATGTGCACTATGGTAACAGGAAGTAAAGGGGGCATAGTTTTACCTAGGTTCGGGCCCTCCCGAAGAGGTAAAACCCTACGTCCTGCTTGATGGTGGATGGGGATACAAAGTACAGAATGATCTACATTGAGATCGTATAAATGAGTTCTAACCTCTCAAAACCTTGCCTCTACAGACTAAACCCCTCGGCATATACAGGCATCAGGGGTATCTAGGGTTACAAGTAGGTCGGCTACAACTAGGGATAACATGCCAACCATTCAAATACGCCTTGAAGTGTACGCCAAGTCTTCGTAGGATTCCATAATTTGAGTACGCCGAGGGCCAGGACATGTGTGACGCATTCTTCAGTTGTTGGTGGGTCCTTGGCCCGGCCCATGACTGGCAGGCCGCGTGGTGTGCACCCCCAATCCAGGACACCGCCAGCTACCACCAAAACGGCGGTGATAAGGCATGGACATCATCAACAGAGGTTCGTCGCCGACGGCTGTCATCACTCGCTCGGTCGCGACCATCCTACCGCCCTAGCACAAAGCTGATCAGCAAAAGGGACCATTGGCCATCGGGCAAGGCGTCCGGATAAAAAGAAGGGTGCAAACTCCCTGGTGCTTCCCCCTCGACCTCCCGTGGTGTCGGGAACTACTACATGGCCTCCGGCGGCCATGCTGCCACCCCTTTCACCCCTGACGGCTGAGGATGAGGTGGATTCATTCAAGACCATGAGCTAGACCGACATGCCCAAGGAAATACCCGCAAGGTAACATGATATGTCTCCAATGTATCTACAATTTTTTATTGTTCCATGCTATTAAATTATCTGTTTTGGATGTTTTATGTGCATTAATATGCTATTTTATATTATTTTTGGGACTAACCTATTAACCTAGAGCCCAGTGCCAGTTCCTGTTTTTCCTTGTGTTTGGGTTTCGCAGAAAAGGAATACCAAACGGAATGAAACCTTCGCGATGATTTTTCTTGGACCAGAAGACAACCAGGAGACTTGGAGATGAAGTCGAAGGAGCCACGAGGCGGCCACAGGGACGGAGGGCGCACCCAGGGGGTAGGGCGCGCCTCCCACCCTTGTGCCCCCCTGTGACCCTCCTAACCTAATTCTTTCGTCTATATATTTCCATATATCCCCAAACCACTAGAGGCATCCACGAAAACACTTTTCCGCCGCCGCAACCTTCTGTACCCGTGAGATCCAATCTAGGGACCTTTTCCGGCACCCTATCGGAGGGGCATTCGGTCGCGGAGGGCTTCTACATCAACTCTATTGCCCTTTCGATGAAGCGTGAGTAGTTACCACAGACCTACGGGTCCATAGCTAGTAGCTAGATGACTTCTTCTCTCTCTTTGATTCTCAATACCATGTTCTCCTCGACGTTCTTGGAGATCTATTCGATGTAATACTTTTTTTGCGGTGTATTTGTCAAGATCCGATGAATTGTGGATTTATGATCAACTTATCTATGAATATTATTTGAATCTTCTCTGAATTCTTATATGCATGATTTGATATCTTTGTAATTCTCTTTGAACTATCGGTTTGGTTTGGCCAACTAGTTTGGTTTTTCTTGCAATGGGGGAAGTGCTTAGCTTTGGGTTCAATCTTGCGGTTGATAATCCCCAAGTGCAGGGAATCATTGTAGCAATTCCCAAAGGTGAAAGTGATAAGTATGGAGTGTCGAACCCACAAGGAGCTAAAGGCAAGATCATTATTCTCTCAAGTCCCATCTGCCACTGATACGACTCTACGTACACCGAACGTTTGCTTCCAATTAAAAACAAGAAATAAACCTATGTTGTGGGTATGAAGAGGATAACTTTGCATGATATCGGAGAGCTAAAATATAAAAGTAGGTGTTGTTATCATCAAGTTAGAATGTATTACTAAATATTAGAAATAGCGAGTGTGGAACAATGATGGGTCGGTGCGGAATTATCCTAGGCAATTGTTAACAAGACGGGTAATCACTATTGCAATTTCATATGAGGGAGATGCATAAGCTAACATACTTTCTCTTCTTGGATCATATGCACTTATGATTGGAACTCTAGCAAGCATCCGCAACCACTAAAGATCATTAAGGTAAAACCCAACCATAACATTAACATATCAAGTCCCCTTTATCCCATACGCAACAACCCCCTTACTCGGGTTTATGCTTCTATCACTCAAGCAACCCACTATAAGCGAATCATGAACGTATTGCAACACCCTACACCGGAATCCCTCATGCTTGCGCGACACGGAGGGCACAATAGGATAGAACCAAAATAAAACATACAACTCATACCAATCTTGATCATCAATCAACCCAAAGACAAAGGATATCTACTCAAAACATCATAGGATGGCAACACATCATTGGATCATAGTATGTGGCATAAAGCACCATGTTCAAGTAGGGATTATAGCGGGGTGCGGGAGAGTGGACCGCGTAAAAGAGATGAGGATGGTGATGATGATGAAGACGATCACCGCGGCGATGATTCCCCTCCCGATGGCACTCTGGCACCACCGAGAGAGAGAGGAGGAGAGGTTCTCCCCCTTGTGCTTCCTCCTTCATGGCCTCCCCCTGGATGGGGAGAGGTTCTCCCTCTGGTCCTTGGCCTCCATGGCGATGATGGCCCCTCCGAGATCGTTCCCCATGGTCTCCGGTGATGATGGCCCCCTCCGGCAGGGTGCCAGAGAGGGCCTAGATTGATTTCTCATGGCTACAGAGGCTTGCGGTGGCGGAACTTACGATCTAGGTTATTTTCTTTAGGTTTGGGAATTTATAGGAGAGGTTGGCATCAAGAACAAGTCAGGGGGCCCACGGGAAGTCCACGAGGCACATGGGCGTGCCCTAGGGGGGTGGGCGCGCCCTCCACCCTCGTGGGGCCCATGGGACTCCCCTCCAGTAACTCTTTGTTCCATTATTTTTTATATTTTCCAGAAAAATTCTTTGTTGATTTTCAACGCATTCCGAGAACTTTTATTTCTGCACAAAGACAACACCACAATAGTTCTGCTGAAAACAGCGTCAGTCTAGGTTAGTTCTAATCAAATCATATAAAACTATTTTAACATGGCATGAATACTTCATAAATTATAGATATGTTGGAGACGTATCAGCATCCCCAAGCTTAATTCCTGCTCGTCCTCGAGTAGGTAAATGATAAAAGAAATAATTTATGAAGTGTGAATGCTAGCAAGTGCTTAAGTTTGATCAATGATAGTTTTAATCACTTTTCTAGCATCATTATATATCATAACAGTAGCACAACTCATAAAAATTCTCATGATCAAGTAACAAGCTACTCACATGTTAAACTATAGATCATAAACTTTCTTGAGAACTAAAAACCATGCTCTTGGTCATCAAACAATTGCAATTCATCTTATTTTCGAGAAGGGTCTATGTAAGAGCTTTGATTCAGCAAA